AAAAAAAAAAAAAAAGAAAAAAACGAAAGCGAACAATTCACGGAGATTGGAGCGCACTTTTTTTCATCGTATTACATTAAGAAGGTACACATGGCATACGGAACAAATAGATTGGCTGTGACTCACCGGGGGATAATCGAAGTCCGTGGCGGACGAGACATCCACGATATAGTCGGCTCTACTCTGATTCGCCGGATCCTCCAAAGCAACGGGTGGCGTTAGCGTGCTCATCGCGCTAATTATCGTCTGGAAAAGAAAGCACATCGTCTGGTGAAGAGAGAAAAAAAACAAGTATAGCATAGCAATGCGTGTAATTCCATTAACGATTATGACGACGACAACGTGCTCTATCATGTAGAGAGGGGGGGGGAGAAAAAGAAAGTCCATTCTCCGCGGCACTGTGAGGAATTTCCATCTGAATTTCCATTATCTATCGTTACACGCGCAGATAATATGTCATTCATAATCCTTAAGTGCCATGGGGCAGCTTGTTTATTACATTCGCCCAACATACGGAAGTGATTGCAAGGTTACAGACAATACGCATATCTAAACACGGTCTCGAACGGGCGAATTGCGAATTTACGGGCGTGTCACGTAACGTTAATGACGAGATGCTGCGCTCGTCAAAACGGATGCATTTACACAGACCAGGCATACCGCAGATATTACGGAAGATTTTTTTTATCTCTTACTCGACACGTAAGTTAAAAAGCTGTTTGATATCACTAAATCACTAAATTCTAAAAGAAGGAAGCACGTTGTATCGTCAGTCGAGACACCCAGGCATCGAACGATGTTTTAACACTAAACGTACCAAGCGCGGTCAAATGGCCCCTTTTCAAAATTTACTTTAAATAAAAATATACGTTTGAGTATTTCACTAGAAATCAGAGTTATGTTGCAAATTATTTCCTTTAGTAAATTAAGAATTTCTTTCTAAAAAAAATCAACGTTTATTCGTCAATGACCCCTTATAAGGCTGTAGAAACCATAGTTGAGACCAATCGTCTTAGAAGAATAAAGGAATAATATAATATAGGCTACTTTATCTTCTGCTCCATGTTGTCAATGCTCGTCCCAAACGATAATCCCGTTGATTATAAAATTCGTATAGCGAGATAGAAATAAGAAGGCAACGCTTAGAGAAGAAATCTCGGTCGATCGCTCGGGTGTTGTGTCAAGTTTGAAACGGAGTCGCGTAAACAAATATGCAAAAGGAAGTTCTTACCAGTATCGCGTCTCTGATGTTCTTTTTGATGTCCTCGATTTTTTGCCGCTTTTCCCTGCACAGAAAAGCGTGAGAGAGAAACGACGTGAGTAAAGCAGGCATTCGATTCTTCGATCACGATTTCAGTGTATGCACCAATGCGTGCATCGCGAACCTAAACCAATGGCTCGATCACGTTTACATGAAGAAATATCGAAATATTTATTACATGCGTATTTTCATTATTAACGGTATCCGAGTCACTCGGTAATTTTAGATCACGGCATCACGCCAGTTTTACTATAACACGATCGACTTCGTTGGTTTGGAGACACACTGGAAATTCTCGCGAATCTAACGATCAACGGTGGGCACGATGAATTTTCATATGGGAAAATACCTCTCTCGTTTCATGGTGATACCTGTGCCAGGCTCCTGTCGTCAATCGGGCAAAGTCGTTCAAAACTCTCTCGCGTACATTACAAACTGACGACAATCGCAATCTAATACAGGTCGTCCCCATTATTTTTATCGCGCGTTACTATTCTCTTGAAGTTTTATCCATCAAGTGTATATCGCCGCCGTTGTTCCGCGTCTCGTTCGAATACGATACTTGGGCGAGGGTTTGTCGTTTCATCTACCTCTCTATTATTCATTTGTGTTTTCGATTACCCTTCGGCACCTCTTCAATTTTCGACGTTTCCAGTCTATGTGACTGCGGGTTAAAAAGTTTCGCACTGTTACACGCGATACGTATACGAATACGCGAACGGTAAAAATAATCGTACCGATCGCTCCAACGATTTTACGAAGTAAAGTCAGTCCGAAACCTGCTACTGCGAATGCATAATTCTATTTATTTAATTACGACCCGACCGAACTGTCACAGACTGGTTGTCACAGGCTC